CCAAAGCTAACCAAGCCATCCTTCTCTCCGGAACCGGTAAAATCGTAACAAGGGAAGGGGGCTTTTCTGGGAGAAACGACGACTCTGCCATCGGCTGCCCTCCTCTCTAACGGTCCCCCCCCCTCAACCTTAAATCATTAGGCCACATCGCAATTTAAAAAAGTCACTGCAATCTTGAATGTAAGTAGAAGCGTGTCGCATTCCGAAAAGGTATTGATCAACGGTATATGCTTCTAGCCCTCTAGTAATAATTTGTTTCTCAGAATGAGGTGGTACATAATAACTTGCCCTTCAGAGCGGGGGTAGACTCATGCACATTGGGGAGCCTTCTCACCGCGCCTTTTGATATTTAGCTCTGAACGTTCCCTCGATCAGCATTCACCCAGGATTGGATCTTGCCTCCTTCCCTTTTGATACAAGTTTGGCTCCCTCTATTGTGATTCGATCTAAGGCAGCGTTCAGACTTCGCGGCGGTAGCGCTTCGGTCGCGCGTTCGGCGCGATTGATGCGCATGCTTTCGACTGCATCGATCGCGTCGAACACGCGACCGAAGCGCTACCGTGCTAAGTCTGAACGCTGCCTAACTCTTGAGGTCTCAGAGATGAGTTTAGTTCTCCTCCTGATCCGGTGGAGTTCTGACAACTTTCTTTTGATTCTCACTCAACCCGTGGAGAAGAATTGCCATTATACAGCCCCACCACTTCTTTCAATCTGCCTCTATCTGCTCCAGTCAAGGCTCCATCCTTTATTTCTTGTCGAAAAACATCCTGATAGCATGAATTATTCTCTCATTAAGTTTATGTACTGTCCCTTCGCTGCTCTCACGCACTTCTTCAGAATTTTCCTCTGACATTTCGAAGTCGGTCTCGTTCCCGTGCCAGCAATTAAAAAAGCCACACATCAATGCCAAAAATCGGCTTTCCAGTATTCGGCGACGTTATAAATTTTACATCAGTGCCAATCCGACATTCCCGAATGGAACGTCAAATGTTAGACTGAATGCGGGAAGATCAAGTCCAAATATCCTTAACGACGACCACCGAGATCAGTTGTTGTGGGACGAGGCAAGGATAGCTCAGGGGAGCCGTCGGGCGGTGCGACCACGCCACATCGTATCGTGCCATCTGCTCCCTATCCGTGAAGTAGATTTTCCTGTTCTGTTTTCTAGAAAGACAGGGAAGACAGGGAGAGGAAATGACATGGTCTTGTCGTACTGAGGGTTACTAGTACCAGTACCAGGGCAAGAAGCTTCTCAATTGGAGTCTGTAGCTGAAGAGAAGATGCGAACCATTTTTCAAATGATTTTTGGAGCATTCACGACAAACTATGTCGTTGGAGTCGGGGGCCGTTCAAGTGTTCTACTGACAGATCATGGAGTCAAGACATCAAGGGCATGTGTAAGATTGCTCTATCAAGATGGCACTAGCGTTACCCCAAGCTTCCACAAAAATCCTCTATCACTCGGGTTAAAGTGCGCATGAAAGGGGGAAAATCAGCGGTCACTGAGATTTCTTTCAACGCCGATACTACCCCCTGGCGCAGTTCGGCGACTGGGGGGGGGGGATTGCACTCTTGCTACCTCATCGACGTGTCGACCCGTTTAGGGAGCCTTTTCTTGAATTGACAGGTTTTCCATGATGGCTTGACGAGCTTGCTCCAGCTTCACAAGAGTTCACAGGTTTCACCAGAGTGAGACTTGTAAACGGAATCAGCGAAGCAATGAAAGTGCAAAATGCCCCCTCTGTCGCAGAACTACGCCAGATCTCCTATCCTTAACGGCTTCCGAACAGACAGTGATGTACGCTTATTGGAGTAGAGTGAATAATCGCTCTAGGCTAGCGGACATCATGAAATTGCATTCCCAGTCCAGCCCACCTGAGCTTCGATTCTTTGACGAATGCAGCTGCTGCCTAAATGATCTTTAATCGCTGACGAGTCTCGGAACCCCGGATTTCCTGCAAGCCTAAGTGCATCGTGAAATGCTGAACATTGCCCTTTCGACATCGCTCTGGCGCTCCAGATCAGATTACCGTACACTGCCGCAAAAAGTTGAACCATTTTACCTTCAGGCACGATAAATTTAAACTCGGTCAACAATAAACGCAGAGGTGCCATATAGTGGGGAAAATAGCGAAAAAGCGAAGTGAAGCGGTCAAGAACCTGCAGAAAAGGCCTTACGCCACACGAGTTGGAAGGCACTTTCGGAGGACTTTCCCGTTGGCATCGTGCCAGTAACCGCTACGGTAGATGCGGCTGCATGCATGTACTCATATATCCATGCAGCACCGCAGCCGCTTCATATCAGCCCCTTCGCCTCATACTGCACATTCGCAAATGAGGCGATACGAGCACCAGATCGGTCGGACTTGCGGACGGGCAGGCGCGGTGGGCGTCCGGGTCGGTATGTTGCAGGCTGACAGGCGCTGTATAGGGTACCTTCTTGAAGAAAGGCGCCACGCAAGCCTGCCCAAGAGTGCCGAATTCTGTCCTGCTAAGCGTATTAATCCTACACGTCTTGGGAGTTTATGTGCCACTTGCCTCCAAACACGGACGCTTGCCCGTGCATCATAGCATCATAGCATAGGCACTTAAAATAACGGCAACTTATTCGATTAGAATATTTTTGAGGTTTTTTGTGCAAATGATGGGGTTAATTATCGTATTAATCACTGTAATTATCGTATCGTACCGTTAATTACCAAACAGATCGTGTCCCTTTTTCTTCCGATGTATCTGGCGGGAAGTTCAATAAAACCACCAAAAATCGAACTGAAGCTACTCCTTATCCCTGAGAAGGAGTAGGCGTGTCGTCAACATGACATAGGAAGGGTTACTTGTGGGATATTTCATTTTGAGTCAACAATCTTGTTCTTTGTTGGACAAAGACATGAACACCGGTGTCCCAAAATGAAAAAAAATTTCCCGAAAACGTGGGCCGCTGCCGCGTTCAATTCAAATAGGCAGCCACGCCTACCGCATCTCACAGATCTCGAGTGTACATAGTATTCTCAGATCAGTAAACAAGTAGAATCGCGTGGACGAAAAAAGGCTCCTCCGCTAGACGTTGTTAGATCAGCTGACAAGTGTAAGTGTAATATAAAGGTTCCTATGCTCTAGTCGGGTCCAGCAGGGCTCAAAGCGCTTGCGTCAGTAGTTATGCAAATGGCAGGACATTTCAACTTGTTACTAGCCACTGATGTAAAAGTGAATCGTGCCATTTCAGACCAGCTGCTATATGAGAAGAGCACATTTAGTCTCAGATATATATCCCTAACAACTACTTGACGTTGTCCCTCTCTAATGCGACGGTAAAACGTCTGCGTCTATTTCTCTTACTTGAGATTTTTGGTGGTTTTTCTACTTTCCCTCGGAATCGCTAGAGGGGAAAATGCGTTTGACGATTCAGAGGGTATTTTCGAAAATCTGAGCCACTTTTAAGCCGCTGAGAGTGACGTTTTGATCAAAATGCTAGGCCATTAATAAAGAAGTATTCACCCAGCACCTTGATTGGTGTAAAACAATAACATTAAAAATTAACAACAAGGTACCGAGTTGTTACGAAAAGTAAAGCTGGAAGCTATTGAATTGGATGTTTTCCATCTGCTCTCCCCTACTTCTCGCGATCTAGCGTTAGCAGCTCCTTCAGTTTAGATCGATCCTTCGTCGACAGCTACCGCTTTTCTGTCTTGTTCGCTGCGGCTGATGGGGCGTGTCAAGTGGTTAGTTTTGGGCGACGCTCTTTTGGCAAGCAATCAGATTGTACCATATTGCTCGTATCAGTCGTTTTCCATCATTTATTGTCGCTCAGCCACTTTAGAAATTGGTGGAGAAAGGGCTAGAGGCGCGCAAACCTAGTCTCACTGACACGCCCCTTCATCCATAACGAACGAGACTATACATGAATTCGATGGGTGCGCTCAGACTACTCTCCTGAGTAAAGGCTAAATTGACAGTCTTTCCTATATATTGCTGAGTACTATACCGCAAAGTACAGACAATCCCAGCAAACAGTAGGGCGTGTGAGGGGCAAGAACTGAAGAGCTGCCAGAACGTTTATTTTTCACCAATGATGCCACCGTGAATCTGCAACAGCTAGTGAAAAAAGCTGATTTGGCTGCGTTCCAAGTCACGCTCCTTCATACCCCTTGTCGTTTGCACGGTTCATGACTATTGTTGATCTACTCGTGTAATAATTACTGGGTTTGATCACGTGATTTTCGTAGACCTTAGCAGTAAAGTTTCATTTGTTTGTACCTGCAGAGAACCTCGTTTGAGAGAAAAAAAGAGTTAAAAGGATTTGTTATGGCACTTGAGAACAACTCATGTGGCAGCCATTCTCCTTTCCTATTGGACATTTCCCATTGCACGTAAACGTTCCACAAAAACCATGTCAGTAACTTCCAGCTGTTTCAGCTTTTGAGCTGAAATAGCTTCCGGGTGAACTGGAATTGCAAGCAGTATTTTCATAAATCTCCTTGCACTCGATTGCTTCCGAATTTTTTCCGGCTTCCAGGGCGTTCCGAGTGATCGCACGTCCACATTGTGACGACTGTGGCAGGGGAGACGTTGCTGACTGTGACACGTGCGCGGCATTCGCACCGACTATAAGGCGACGAGTTGTTTAGATAGGGATGTACTGTGTATAGCTGAAACCAAAAAAAAAAGTCAAAAGCTCAAATAGTAGGTCGTTGAAACCAGTATCACCAGCCGAAGTACAGGCCTTCAAAGTGGATAAAACCAAATCACCGCAATCTGCCACAAGAGTTATGAATAGCTGGATACCTTTTTCTCCAATTTGGGTTGGAGAAGCAAAATTGAACAGGGTGGAAGGACCAAAAATAGGGTTTCCAGTTTTTTCTGAAATTATAAAGTAAAGGCTGCCGGCGTTGATCGCTGCTCATCTTGAAATACTCCAGTGGAATATGTGATACAAAGATAACGGCATCTTGAATGTCATTTGGCCTATAGTAAGTCCTCAGAGGAGAGTATGTCAGGGAAAGATGTCATTGAACTTTGGAGTAATGTCAAAGTTACTAAATATGACAGGTTTGGTAAGCGCTTAGTTCGTTACCTTATATTCACTATCACTGGACTTCTTATTCGAGTCACATGTTTGTCCTTTGCTCCTTCCTGCACCATCTCCATCCCTCATCCATCAACAATGGACGTTCTCCAATGAAAAAAACCCAATTAAGTGGTCCCTACTACGTTCTCGACAAGAAATTAATGCAGTGAATTCAGTCCTGCTTCGATTCTGAGCTGCAATATGCTCCGACACGTTGCACAACGTCCAATTGCTTCAAATATCTTCCAAGAAAAGTTGCAGCGGCGGAATTGGTGTAATTGCGGCCACATAGCAGTGCAAAGTATTTCAGAGCAGATCGCTGTTGGGGAATCCCCAACAGGGGAGGGGTCGTAATTGGTCCAAGAAAAATTTTCGTGATAGTTGATTTTTCTTGTTTCAGTGACGGTGTAAGGGAGGGTCGCATTTGGTCGTTGTTGGGAGGAAGTTCGTATTTCCCCTCTGACCTTGTGAGAGAGGATGCTGACTTCTTAGTTGACCCTGTTTCATATGTACTATTTATATACCCCACTCTCTCCCCGCTTGACACCTCGATGAGGAGGGGGAACCAGGGTGGGGGGGGAGGGTCGTACCAAACCCCTGAAAAAATGGGAGGGTCATACGTACTGAATCGAAATCTCCAACTAATGATGTTCCCTTGTTCACCTTCTCAGTGCAGGAGTATTGGCTTAGTGCTAGAGTTAATGCGGATGCAGTGGTAATCGGCCGAGGGCAAAAAAATGCCGAAGGTTCCTTTGCTCCAATTACTGCTTTTTTTCGACTAAAGAATGGAACATGAACTCTAAGAAATCCTCAAAGGGGTTCAAATTTAGTCACTGTGATGGATAAAAGGGTTTGTATTCAGCCTTCGGAGAGCTTTGTGGCAGTAATTCCCCCCCCCCGTTACTCAGGCGCAAAGCATGACATACAGTCCTGCTCGCTGCTAATGCTGGGACGCGTCAGTGGAGGGGAGGGTGCAGCTGAACTTGACCCTTCGCCGGTCTGCTCTCCACCAGTGGTTAAATTGGACAAGGGATAACAATCGTTGGGAAAAGGGCTGGTCAACTCAGTCCGCTCACACTACTCAGTGTCTGCAGCGAACAAAACTGTATAAGCTCTCTAGTTAGATGTCGATCCTTCTACTTCGAGAACTCAACAGGAGGTCTGTATATAGCTCCTGCCCCCTGACGGCAAGTATATGGAGTACACTTAGTGAGGGCCGTACAGAACAGGCAACAGGCACGGGGGGGGGGTGGCAGCAGCGGACATCCTGACAATGTGCCCATTTCTCGGTAGCTATTGGCATATCCTGTACGAAGGCATCTGTTAGGATATTGGTTGGGCCTGGAAAGTATTCAGCAGCATTTTTTCCTTGGAAAAAACCCCAAATGTTTCATGTGTTTCCTGGAAGCGCCAATGTCGTTCGACTTTTGCGCTGTTTCTTGAGGTTGCGTAGGTGATTGGCACTCCGAGTAATTGTGAGGACATGACTGACACATAAATTATGCCAACCTATGCTTTCATCCTGATTCTCAGTCATTATACGTCGTCGGCATACCCTTGGTGTACGCGTATGTCAAAGACCATGTTGTTTCGAAAGCAAGCTAAAAGTGAGCACTGTTCGGCTTAGGGGGGCGTTCTGCGTTTTTGCTAGTTCCTATTAAGAGTACTGGCTACCAGGCCTCATTTTCATGACGCTGTAAACCCTTGTCAAGCTGTGAAATTGTGCAAATGAACTACTAAATGCAAGAACGCGTTGGTACTCAAAAGGAGTCCTATGAACGCTTCACTGACTACATGCCATTGCCCCCCTCCCTTCCACAAACCAAACTGTTCTCAAGAGAGTGTTAAAGTCGATCTAGGGATGTTCACTTGTTTGTTCGGGAAAAGGACCCATCATCCACCTCGAAGTGGTTCTACGTACGCAAAGGCCTTATCTATTACTTATTTTACCAGTCTTTTTATTTTTCTAAAAAAGGTCCGTATACACCCTTGCCTCTTCCCATTCACAGTGGCTGTAAGCTGTCCGTTTTGACCTGCTGGTAATGTGATAATGTCACTGGTGATATCTTATTCTTTATATGTCTACACTCTTGTTCGCTCCAGATGATGGGGCGTGTCAGTGAAGCTGGCAGCACACAGCCAGCCCGTCCTCCACCAGTTGTTCAAACAAGTCAGTGGCAACAAGCGGTGGGAAACGGCTGATACGAACGACATGATACAGCCCTGTCGCTTGCCGGAAGAAAAGAAACGGGGCTGGCAATGCGACAAACCCATCATCCCTGACACTCCCCGCAGCGAGAGAGATCAAAACCTTCATTATTTTTTAAGTCAAATAAGGGGACATATTCAATAGCGAAGGAGGGGACCCTGCTCATTAGCTGGGGATCGTCAGCATTTAGTGATTGGGAAAATATGTACTACGTCTCCCGCGGATGGAGAGGGCGTGGCTGCAGGCACCATTTGGGTGTGGACATGTATGTACAGTGCAGAGAAAGGGTAATGATGTCTCGAATGGAAAATTCCACGAGAAGCTCATCATACGCGATACTCAAATGAAGCAGTAGCCACGCCTTTCCCACTCAGGGATATGAAGCATATGTATAGACACAGGACTTTTTGAGGACAACCGGAGATCTGTTCCTCATTCTAATTAGCCTCATATAGCCAGAAAATATTTGGAGTAGAGTTTAAACTGGGTAAATTGGACGTTCTTTGTTGTTTAGGAAGAAAGGAGGTCGTAGCCCGACCTTATTTTTGGAGGGAAGGGTCGACTTGCACTAGCAGTTTCCATATCCTAATGATGTGCCCTACTTGGTAATATCGTTTTTGCAAATAGCCCCAAGGATAAAAGTACACAATTGTGCAGGAAATCTCCATAGTTACAAACTCATTACTTTTTCAATATGAAGCCTTGGTTTTTATTAGTTTGAATCAATTTTTCAGTTCGTCATAAAATGCTGTACTTTACACGTTCAACCCTACCGTGCATTATTTTCTATGAAGCTTCCGTGCATTTTTAGCGCCGAAACGTTTTGAAGGTTAACAATGGAAACTTTGCGTTCACCTTCCTTCCTTCTGTGTATCCCTGGGATAGAGTGGGCGTGCCTACATGATTACTTCAAACAAAACGGCGGCTGCGCTTTTGGCGGGAAAAATGCCAATGTGGGAGGGCTGCGACCACGCCTTTGTCCAGCGTAAGCCAAGACGACATTTATTTTAAAAGGGAAATCCCACGAAAAACGCATCCCACGACGAGTCAGAATGTGCAGCCTCGCCCTTCCCGTTGTCGGGATGGGGACTTGCACTACTCGGTCGTGAACCGAAAAGATGCTGACTGGCCTTTTTGGATGGAATTTGATCCGTTATCTATCATAATGATATATTTCAGTAATATTTATTTCTAGAAATGTCCTCACTTTTACTTTTACTGTGTAGATTTTACTAATTACTGATTACTAAGAGTTTTATCAGTTTTTCCCGCATACGTAGTTCGTTACAAGTTTTACCAAACTGACACCATCGGGCATTCGTAGAGGAAATATGAGAGCAGCGCCATAAGCTGCTCACTAAAAACCACTTGTACAACTTTTTCTATGGGCATGTCATATTGTGCAGCAATTTTTCACGTGAAGCGCAGATTTTTTTGGGATGCATTTTTTCCAGTGTTCTTTGGACCTCGAACACTATTCCACCCCATAGTTGCTGATTTGTATTTCTGGGACTTTTTCCGTTTTTTCGTTTTCAGTTCGCATAGATACATACTTAGTATGGAGTGAATGTATCGATTGGATGACCTCTTAATTCCTTACTCATACCGTCTTCTAGGCCCTTAAAGGCACGGTCCGCGATCAGGTTTAGAAGTTAGAAATATGGTGTCGAAGTGAGTAGTGTGATCCGCGACGAACAACCTTGCACCGGTTTCGCAACGAAGAAATTTCAAGAGAGGAGCGCTATAGCCTCAAATAGGTTCAGTGACGCCTCCTTTTCTTTAGTCACCCCGCCTCCAGACACCCCTCTTAGGTAGGCCGCCTTCCAGTGAAAAACGAAGCTGCAGGACGAAAAAGCATGAAAATCGTCACTTGTACGGTCGTAGAGTTCTTATCGGGGAATCAGCTGTGCGGATGAGGGCGTAGTGTTGGAGATGGAGTTAATTGGGCACGTACAAACTGGGATCGGAATGGGTTCAATCTAGGGCATTTGTTATTTTTTTTCTGCTTTTCTAGTCACTCACAACTTACTCAGAACTTGTCCCCTATATGCAAACCACTAATCCACTACCTATGATGGCGAATGATTGAGGGCTCTGTCATTTAACCTAGGAGTGGGGGTAGCGTAGATTACAAGAGGGCCAGCGCACCCGAAAGAACCATTACCCATATAGGACCACGGCTTCCGCGAAGCCACCCTAGAAACCTGTATGGGGAAATGAATCAGCCTTCCTGGCGTGTTCTGATCCCGTTGTATAAGCTCACCGCATATTTAAGTATCTTCGGAATCCCAAGAGGAATTCTTTTGTATGGCGTACCACGATGAGATTAACCAGCATCGATCTCAAGGTCAATTACTGATTTGTTTTTACTTGCTCAATCCGAGGATGTCTAGTGACTTATAGAGTGCACGTAAGGTTTGGAGAGTTTTCAGGGTTATCGGCTTGAAAGCCAAATTAACCACAAAGCTTGCATAGTGAACCAGCGCAGCCATTATCTCTGCAAATGAGGGGTCGTGGGAGGGGGCGTGGACCCGCAACAATTTATGGAAAAAGCTGCCCTAGCAGCGTTTCACTCCATGCTCTCTCTCCACTTCCTCTCGTTTGCACATTATACATTTGCACACCTGCAGCCTGAGTTCTGGCGTCCACAGAAGTGTTAGAGTTCTTAAATATGTACACCTTCTGCAGATAGCTAATGAGCGAGTGCGCTACGGCAGTCACAAGACAAAGAAGCGCGACCCACAGCAGTTGCCCCGCCCTAGATCATCTGGA